AGCAGGACATGGTTGGTATCATGGGCATACGGCCCTGCTTCACAATCTTCACAGATATTGTAGGATGGGCACAGACTGTAGGGAAGAGAACAGCACAGCACAGAATAGCAGAATAGGAGGTACCTGAGTAGGGGTGACAGAAGACCAGACTTCTGAATTTGCTCCATCAGCTAGATGGTAACCTGAGCATGCTACCTGAGCAAGTCACGTCTCAGTTTTCCTCATTAGTAAACTGAGGATAATACTTAATCTACACTTATTTCCAAGGATAGTCAATGAAGGAAGCAAGATACAAAAGCATCTGGAACAAGGGGATTATCTTTAGTGATCTAATTTTGATTTGGGGAATATAATTTTGTTTGGCTCTGTTAATAGTGTATCTGAACACAACAATTTAAACAATTACTTCTCAAACCATAAAGCATGTGGGCAGAGTAGCTCTAGGGGCCCAGCTGGTAGCATGGCGGTTAAGGCAGCCAGATCCCAAATGGCTAACTGTATGGTTCAAGCCCTGGACTCAGTGGCTTGAAAAACATACCTGGTATGTGTGTGTGCGTGCCCAAAAGAAGAAAAAGAGGAGAAGGGATTATAGCATGGCTGGCCCCCATAAGGGCTGTTTTCTCACCTTTTTCTCTCTCTCTACAGTGAGTGCATGTATGCTCTAGCAAATAAAAAACAACAAACAAACAGCAGTGCTCTGAGGTCTACCACCAGCTGGCTACCCCTAAGGGGCTGCTTACCTACACTGGTAGCGTACGCCTATGATCCTTCTTTGGCAGCTGCTGCAAGCAATATGCCAGCTGAACTGGTTTTCTGGCAAAAACAGTGTTTCCTCTGAAGCAGGCATTGAGACTTCCGAGGGACCGGAACCTAAGGATGGACTCTGGAGGACAAGCTTCTCACGTAATTTCTGTTCAAGCTTCTCAACTGTTTCTTTAACCACTTGCTCTCTGAACTAGAATATGAAAGAGAAGGTGAGAAAAAAACAGTTTCAATATTGGAAAAAAGTATAAAGGAGAGACTAGTAGGTGGAATGGTGGTTAAGGCGCTGGACACTCCCACATGGCTGACCATAGTTCAAGTCCCAGACCTGGTGGCTTGCTTTCTTACTTTTTCTCTGTCTCTTTCTGGTCAAATTAAAATAAATGAATGAATAAATAAAATTAAGTAATTCTTAAACAGTATGAAGGTATCAATAAGCCTGAAACATCACCCTCTGGTTTAACGCAAGAATATCATAAACAAATAATAGCTACTGAATGAATGAACAGAAACATAGCAAAAGGTTTATTCCTTCCACAGTTAACCTGGTTCAAAGAGAATATCAAGAAATTCTACTGATGGGGGGAACCAGCAGTTAGCGTAATGGCTATGTCGCTGGACTCCCACATAGTTGACCGCAGTTCGCGTCCCGGACCCAGTGGCTTAAAACTCTCGCCGGGCGTGTGTGCGTGCGTGCCCAAGATCCCGAGAGGAGAATGGAGGAGAAGGGATTGCGGCGTGACCATCCCCCCTGGGGGGTGATTTCTTGCTTTCTGTCTGTCTGTCTGTCTGGCGAACGCACACGCCCTATAGCGAAAACCTCTCCAAAAAAAAAAAAAGAAAGAAAGAAAGAAAGAAATTCTACCGATGGGACCAGCAGTTAGTGTAATGGCTATGTCGCTGGACTCCCATGTGGTTGACCGTGGTTTGAGTCCTGGACCCGGTGGCTTAAACTCACACCAGGTGCGTGTGTGTGCATGCCCAGGATCACGAGAGGAGAATGGAGGAGAAGGGACTGCGGCGTGGCCATCCCCCGGGGGGGTGATTTCTCGCTTTCTGTCTCTCTGTCTTTCTGGAGAGCGCATGCGCCCTATAGCTAAAAACAAACAAACAAACAAACAAACAAACAAAAAAAACTTCTCCAAAAAAGAAATTCTACTGATGAGTAAAATAGCTGACTTCTCTCTTAGAGACTTGTTCTTCTCCCTTACATGCTGAGAGTTAAGACTCCTTCTCACTGCAAAAGTCAGTTTTCTTTACTGGACTTCTCTGGGTTTGGAATCCATTAGCTACCACTCTTCATTCACCTACACCAGAGGCTTTCTAGGTTTCTTCTACATTCCACCTGTGCCAGCACTGGGGCTAAAACCCAAGCTAGAGAGAATACTCACTGTCTCCAGGTAGTTTGTGAACCAGTCCGGGGGCTTGTCTTCAGGCTGTTCTTTGTCACGTGGAGCAAGTGCAAATGACTGTGAGGAATAAACAATCCAAGATCTTGGAGGTTATTATTTCTACTTAAAATAATTTTCCTGAATGTATTATTTTGGTTTCCTTTACCAAATTTTACAAGCATATGATTAAAAAAAGAGCCATACTATGAAGGAGTATCAAAGGAAAATCAAGTCTCTATTGTACCTTGCCTCCTTCCCTCCCAGAAGTATACCACTGTTACTAGATTCAAAAAGTCAGCCACACACATTGTCACAGTAACTCCGAAATCTTTGATGATTATTCAGCTCTTAGATCAAAGAAAGACAATGAGAAGTGAGGTTTACAAAACTGAATAGACAGGTCTACCCCCTTCATACCTGTGCTGCAGGCCCCTCTGGGGTCTTCATATCTGATCCCAAGACTCTCACCAGTGAAGAGTAATGTGCAAGGGGCTTCTTCCCTGCCCTGGCAGGTAATCGTTTTCCTGCTACAGTTGGAGGTGGAACTTCATCAACAACATGGTACCCCTCGTGGACTTGCATCTGCAGTTGGTTTCCCTGCTTAACTGCCATCTGAGAGCATAGGTGGAAAACAAACACTGGGTGATTCTCCTTTCTCAACTGACATTTCAAAGACACTGAAACAGAACAGTGTGGTGAATTAAGCTGGCAAATATTGGGATTTATGTTTGCTTTATTAATCAAACATTTATAATGTCGATACTTAGCCTGCTTTTTCTTTGTCAAGAATCTTAACTAGGTAGTGTAATGGCTATGTCGCTGGACTCCCACGTAGCCAATCGCGGTTTGAGTCCCGGATCCAGTGGCTTAAACTCACGCCGGGCGTGTGTGCATGCGTGCCCAAGATCCCGAGAGGAGAATGGAGAAGGGATTGCGGCATGGCCATCCCCCTGGGGGATGATTTCTCACTTTCTCTCTGTCTCTTTCTGACGAGTGCACATGCCCTATAGCAAAAACCTCTCCAAAAAAAAAAAGAATCTTAACTAGAAATGGTTTTATTATTAAAGCCACAAAGGAGGTTTTTCATACAGCAAGCTATTGGTGAGATTTTTCATTAACTGGGTTACAACTTCTCTGTATAACTGTTTTTTTATATGATACTCCATGTGTGGACTCTAATTTCACCTTTCTGGAAAAGTCAATACAAGACAAACAGAACTGGAGAAATGTGAATGTCCTAAAATTTACTTTTCTACTAAGAATAGTATTGTGGAACGCAACCTTAAGTGGTTCGTGGCCTTCTGAAGACAAACTTCTTGAAAACCCTATTTTGAAAACAGTACTTTAAGAAACATTCAGGGGACCAGCAGTTAGCATAATGGCTAAGTTGCTGGACTCCCATGTAGTCGACTGCGGTTTGAGTCCTGAAACCAGCGGCTTAAACTCACGCTGGGCGCATGTGCATGTGTGCCCAATATCCCAAGAGGAGAATGGAGGAGAGGGGATTGCGGTGTGGCCATCTCCCCTTGGGGGTGATTTCTCGCTGTCTCTGTCTTTCTGGTGAGTGCACGTGCCCTGTAGCAAAAACCTCTCCAAAAAAAAGAAAAAAAAATAATAAAAGAAACATTTGGGACCAGCAGTTAGTGTAATGGTTATGTCGCTGGACTTCCACGTAGTCGACCGCGGTTTGAGAAAAGGAAAGTGAGAAAACAAGCTACCAGGTCTGGGACTTGAACCTGAATAATTCTTTTTTTTTACTTGGGACCAGTAAAAAGGAGGAGAAGGGATTGTGGCATGGCCATCCCCCGTAGGGGGTGATTTCTTGCTTTCTGTCTCTCTGTCTCTTTCTGTCTTTCCGGCAAGCGCATGCGCCCTATAGCAAAAAACTTCAAAAAAAAATAAGGAGAGAATTATTTTACTTAACTTTATTTATTTATTCATTTAATTTGACCAGAGAGGGACAGAGCAAGAGAGAGAGGGAGAAAGAGAGAAAGCATGCCACCAGATCTGGGACTCAAACTGTGGTCAGTCATGTGGAAGTCCAGCATCCTTAACCACCATGCCTCCTGCCAGCCCATTATTTTTAAATTTGACCAGAGAGGGACAAAGACAGAGAGAAAAGGAAAGTGAAAGCACAAGCCACTGGGTCCAAAACTTGAACCACGGTTGGTCATGTTGGAATCCAGGGCCTTAACTACCATGTCACCTGCTGGCCCTAAACAGTAGAATTCTGAGGTCTAAGCTTCGTGACTGAATCAGATGAGCTAACAGTGGCTGTGGGAAAGTTAGAAGAGTTATGGAAATCTTGGAAGCCTTTTATAGTTAAACGATTAAAGCTTCAGAAAATACGGAAGGAGAAAAGCCAGGAAAAGCTGCACAAGAATGAGAAGATGTGGGGGCCGGCAGGTAGTGTGGTAGATAAAGGCTTTGGATTCCCAAATGGCCAACCGCGGTTCAAGTGCCAGACCTAGAGGCTTGCTTTCTTGCCTTCCCTTTCTCTCTCTCTCTCTGTCCAGAAAACAAATCTTTTTTTTTTTTTTTTTGAGAGGTTTTTGCTATAGGGCGCGTGCGCTCACCAGACAGACAGAGAGAGACAGTAAGAAAGCGAGAAATCACCCCCCAGGGGGGATGGCCACGCTGCAATCCCTTCTCCAGTCTCCTCTTGGGATCTTGGGTACGCACGCGCATGCGCCCGGCGTGAGTTTTAAGCCACCGGGTCTGGGACGCAAACCGCGGTTGACTACATGGGAGTCCAGCAACATAGCCATTACGCTAACTGCTGGTCCCCAGAAAACAAATCTTAATTACAGTGGTGGTAATGAAGACAGTTTGGCACGCCTTAAAGAAGTGATGTTGATGGGATTAGCAGTTAGTGTAATGGCTATGTCGCTGGACTCCCATGTAGTCGACTGCAGTTCAAGTCTCAGACCTGGTGGTTTAAACTCACGTTGGGCACGTGTGCGTGCCTAAGATCCCAAGAAGAGAATGGAGGAGAAAGGATTGCAGGGAGGCCATCCCCCCGGGGAGTGATTTCTCGCTTTCTGTCTCTCTTTCTCTGTCTGGTGAGTGCAAGCGCCAAAAACCTCTCCAAAAATAAATAAATAAATAAATAAAATAAGTGATGTTGAGAGACCAGCAGATGGCGTAATGATTACGTCATTGGACTTCTACATAATTGACCATGGTTCGAGTCTCAGATCCAGCAACTTAAAACTCATGCCAGGGGGCCAGCAGGTGGTGTGGTAGTTAAGGTACTGGACACACTCACATGGCTGATCATGGTTCAGGGCCTAGACCTAGGTGGCTTGCTTTCTCACTTTCCGTTTCTCTCTCTCTGGTCAAATTAAAATAAATAAATAAATGAACAAAATTAAAAAATAAATATTAAAAAAAAAACAAAAAACTCATGCCGGGCACATGTGTATGCATGCCCAAAATCCTGAGAGGAGCCGGGAGGAGAAAGGACGGGTGTGGCCATCCCTCCTGGTGGGTGATTTTTCAGTTTCTGTGTGTGTCTCTGTCTCTCTGGCAAGTGCATGTGCCCTATAGCAAAAACTCTCAACAACAACAACAAAAAAAGGTGATGTCAAGGAATACTGTAACTCATTAGTAACTCTGACATGAGATGTAATTAGATGGTTTATAAATTAAATTCTTGCACATTACATTGTCACATTCTATAGGGCTACAGGGAACAGAATGAAGAAGGTGGGAAATGGGAAACAACATATCTAGAGAGCTCTTATTTATTTATTTTTAGAGATTTTTGCTATAGGGCATGTGTACTCGTCAGAGGGAGAGGAACAGAAAGGAAGAAGTCACCCCCCAGGAGGGATGGCCATGCCATAATCCCTTCTTCTCCATCTTCTCGGGATTTTGGGCAGGTGCACCCTCACACCAGGCATGAGTTTCAAGTCACTGGGTCCTGGATTGAATCGTGGTCCATCACATGGGAGTCCAGTACCTTAACCACTATGCCACCTGTTGGCCTCCAGCTCTTTGTATTTTTAAATGCTAGAATGGTGGTGCTAAGATGAGATGATAACTGTGAAGAACTTTAATAGAAGCTTTTTGCTGGGGAGTCAATAGTTTCCCTAAAAATAGGCTTCATTGTGCTTATTATACTCATTAGATTCTACCCATGGCTAGTGGAATTCAGGCTCTAGGTTTAGTTAATAAACACTTTTTTGGGGGAGAGGTTTTTGCTACAGGGTGCGTGTGCTTGCCAGAAAGTCAGAGACAGAGGGACAGAAAGTGAGAAATCACCCCCCAGGGGGAATGGCCACGCTGCAGTCCCTTCTCCTCCTCCATTCTCCTCTTGGGATCTTGGGCACGCACGCACACACACCCAGCGTGAGTTTAAGCCACTGGGTTCGGGACTTGAACTGTGGTCAACTATATGGGAGTCCAGCAACATGGCCATTATGATGTCTGCTGGTCCCCCCCCCCCACTTTTTGTGTCAATAAATGCTTTTTAAGTTATTGAAAAATGAGATGAAATAACCGTTACCTTAAGTGCTTCTTCATATTCTCCTGAAAGGACAAAAAAAAGGACACTGATATTTCTTCACCAAAAATACTATTAAGTATAGCCTGTCTTAAGAATCTAAGGTACAACATGAGGTCCACAGTTAGTAACAGTGTATTGCTTTCAGGATTTTTGCTAAATGAGTTCCTTATGGCTGCTCTTGCAGAGAGGAGGAAAATGGGTAACTATGTGAGATGAGGAGAACGTCATTTGTTTCACTATAGTAACCATCTTACTATTAATTTGTATCTCATAATACCATGTTGGATTCCTTAAATATACACAAAGTTTATTTTTAAAAAAAGCTAATGCTGACTTCTATGAATATTTAGCATATAGTCCTTATAAATGAACAGCTACTACCTTTTTGCTGACAAAGTCTTCTAATTTCAATGCAAACAGAAGCTACTGCAGATCAGTTCTTCCCAATAAATCCCTCTCTCTTGCTTAGAGACATCCAGTTACCATGTTATGAAATCTCAATCAAGCTTCCTCTCAGTAAGTGCTGTCAAGTTCAGGACTCAAGGGATTTCAAAGACTGTGCTAATGCTATCATTTCAGCTTGTTAAAATAAGCTTTGTGGGATGGCCTGGGAACTGAACCTTTGAACATAACATGGCTCTTGTGGGAAAATGCACTCTAAGCTCTAAACAAACAACTACCTGATAGTAAACTGGGAATACTATTTCTTTATAAACCAAAAACCAGGGATAAATGCAATACCAGGAAGTGTTATATGTGTCAAGTTATCAAAAATATTTACACAGGACTAGCATTTTAAATATAAAAGAATTTGGTTTAATGGGAAGGTCCATTCAAAGGTACGCTGAGATATTAACAAAAACGGCATAATAAAAATTCCCCAAGTAACCAACACTCATGGATGAATGAGTGCAATGTCAACTTACGGCATACCAAATTCTACTCTGAAATGAACACTGCAACGATGTTTGAGTATAAATGGAAATGCCATAGTAAGTGGATTAAGGCTTTAAATATAGCCAAACAGATCCTCTAAGGGACTCACCTTGACTATTGATGGATACCTATGGAAAGAAAAAAGCAACAGAAAATTAAGTGTCTCACCGATTGAGCATTTCTGCTACTAGGACTAACCTCATAGGACAGATGTAAAGTCTCAGGTCATGGGCTCCCACTTTTCTAGTATCACTTCTTAGTCATATATAATAATTTAGAGATTTTATTGCTTAACCACTATGTCCTCTTTTATTTCAGGTACACAAGAGGGAACGTAATGCAGTGGTTAAGAGCCTGGGCTCTGGAGCCAGATAATATAAACTGAACCCCTACGCTACCACTTCTAAGTTTATGTGCCTTTGGGCAAGTTACTTTAACCTCTCTGTTTTCTTATGGGTAAAGTAGAAATGCTAATTTACCTAATACAAAATATTGCTGTTACTGTGATACACCAATAGCCACCACTCACTAAAGGTCAGCCTTTGTTACTGCTACTATTATGAACTAAATAGCAGCCTGAACTTTTTGAATGTAATTCTTCAGTGCTGCTTCCCTATTTCTTAACTCCATTTCAGCCAGTCTCCCTAGAACATATAATTATCCAATGCGTTTAACCCACCAAATAAATAAGACAGACATTATTCTGAGCCTTTTGAGAAATAAGTTCCCAAATATTCTGAATATCTAGCAATGGGCAATAAAATATATTTACCTCTTCATTTTCCTCATCCAGGTATTTTATTTGAATAGTGTTCAAATCAAATGAAACTTTTACCTGCAAATAAAATACACACACTGTATGATCAAGACATGAACAAGGCAGATTGTAATAGAAACTTGGAAGCCATAAAAAAGGAGGGGCATATTTCACTACACAAAAATTAGACGTTGGTCCAGCAATGGCAGTTTGAGTTGTAGGATGAAACTGAGCAATGCTGGAGACATATGGGAGGCTCTGAGTTCAGATCCTGGGTCAATTCGAACATAGTGTGCTTGATTTTAGCTAGCTAAAGCTGGTAGGAGGATCATAATATGTTAGGACCTGTCTCATTCCCTCTCTACCTCCCTCTCTCACAAAATAAACTTGAAAATACATATAAGCATTTTATATGGTAAAAGAATGCTCCCCAACACACAAAGTCAAAAGAAAGAATGGAAAAAATATTTGCAACCTATGAGACAAAAGCTTAGTATCTGTACACAGAGCATCAGAGATAGGTGTAATGGTAAGATTAACCAACCCAGGTAAAAAATAGGCAAAAATACATAAAACTCATAGAAGAGGAAAGTAGAATGACTAACAAATACATGAAAAGATGTTCCGCCTCACTGGAAGAACAATGCAAATTAACGCAACAAGATGTTATCTCACTAGAACAGCAAAACCATTTTAAAGTTATAACATCCACTGTTGTAAAAACTCAAGGCATTTTCATATATTTCTATGAACTGTTATAATTGTCCCAAAAAGCATCTGGCAGTACCCATTAAAACTTAAAGGGATTGCTGTGTCATCAACTCCGGTGGTGCTTTCTCACTTTCTCTCTCTCTGGCAAGCACATGTGCCCTATAGCAAATTAAAAAAAAAACAAACAAAAAAACAAAAAAAACAAACAAAACTTAAATTCAGTTGCGGGGACCAGCAGTTGGCATAATGGCTGTGTCGCTGGACTCCCATGTAGCCAACTGTGGTTCAAGTCCTGGTCCCGGTGGCTTAAACTCACGCTGGGTGCCCAAGACCCCAAGAGGAGAATGGAGGAGATGGGATTGCAGCATGGTCATCTCCCTGGGGGGTGATTTCTCTCTTTCTGTTTCTATCTGTCTTTCTGGCAAGCACACGTGCCCTATAGCAAAAACCTCTCCAAAAAAAAAAAAATCAGATGTGGTGACACAGACACCAGGACAGCACTGGACAACACCTAGCCACTTGGAGGCCTAGGTTTGGATCCCAGGTTGACTTGAACATTCTGGATGTGCTACTGACCTTGGCCAGCTTGAAGGCTATGTGTGGAGGGGATGTTGCAGTATGGTGATGAGACTGTGTCAAGGGTACATGTGTCTGTCTGTCTGTCTGTTTCTCTCATGAAATACATAATCACATTTTTATATTACATGTCTATGACCTATTAAGCTCACTTTTAGATAGGTTAGAGTATGCATAAGTTATGTGTACAGAGAAATATCTCTAGTAGTTTATAATGATAAAAAGAAATGAAAGAGGGGCCAGCAGGTGGTGTAGTGGTTGTGGTGCTAGACTCGCATATGGCCGATTGCAGTTTAAGTCCCCGGCTGGGTAGCTTGGAACTTACACTGGAAGAGTATGTGTGCGTGCCCAAGATCCCAGGAAGAGAATGGAGGAGAAGAGATAGCCATGTGGCCATGCACTGGGAGTGGGGGGTAGTGATACCTCACTCTTTCTCTTTCTGCCTCTCTGTGTCTCCTGTGAATGCATACACCCTATAGCAAAAATATCCGTTAAAAAAAAAAAAAGAAAGAAAGAGGGACCAGCAGTTAGTGTAATGACTATGTCGATGAACTCCCATGTAGTCGACCATGGTTCGCGTCCCGGACCCAGTGGCTTAAAACTCTTGCTGGGCATGTGTGCATGCGTGCCCAAGATCCTGAGAGGAGAATGGAGAAGGGACTGCGGCGTGGCCATCCCCCCTGGGGGTTGATTTCTCATTTTCTGTCTCTCTGTCTCTGTCTGGCGAGCACACGTGCCCTATAGCAAAAACCTCTCCAAAAAAAAAAAAGGAAAGAAAGAAATGAAAGAAAACTGCAAACAATCTTTTAATAAAGGATGGTTAAATAAACTACAGTATAATACCAATAATACCGTGCACTACAGCTTTAAAAAGAACAAGCTCTGATCCTTATCTACTGATTGAGAACTATCTTAGTAACATAATGTTGGGCAAGAAAAGCAAGCTACAGAATAACGTTTATAGCATGATCCTAATATAGTATCTGTACAAACATGGAAAATGTGGGTATGAACATATAGGGCTGTTGACACTGTATAAGAAAATAGCCGAAGTGATTCATTTTCAAGAATAGCTTAACAAAATTGCTTAACCAGCTTACTGATATGACAACCCCTGAAAGTAAACATTCCCGGAAAGTTCCTGAACAAATGAAATCCAAAAATAACAGATTGCCCTTGAGAAATGACTTCTCATGATGGTAGCTGGTCACCAGCCTTTTGCTCCTTTTCATTTCTTAGTTCTTCTCCTTCCTCAGGTTTTTTGGTGGATCTTTTTCGTGAGCTTGTTCTGACCCTACGCTTTTCCATTAGACAGGAGAAGGAAGGGGACAATAAATGCCTAATAAGAGAATAATGAAACTGAGGTGATGACTGGGAAAATTGTACACCCCATAATACTCAGCCAGAGAGGGACTCACACACTTGGGAATAAATGATTTGTTTTAACCGTTTCGGTGTGTCTGCTCTTCAGAAACTAGATCTTGCACTTCACTATACCTCGTGTCTCCATGTATATTCTTTGTCATTGGATGGGTGAGCACATTTATCACATACTGATTATCCAAAAAGGTTAGGCAAGGGCAGGTGGGGCGAGGTGGGTGGAGGTGGAGAAAGAAATGAAATGATAGTAACTTTTTCATTGTGTACATTTACAGTTTCACTTCTTACAGTGGGCATGTATTAAACTTTCATAATTTAAAGTTTATTATAAAGAAAAGGCCAAGACCAGCAGTTGGCATAATGGCTATGTCACTGGACTCCCATGTAGTCGACTGCAGTTCGAGTCCCAGACCCAGTGGCTTAAACTCACACCAGGCACATGTGTTGTGTGTGCCCAAGATCCTGAGAAGAGAATGGAGGAGAAGGGATTGCGGCGTGGTCATCCCCACTGGGATGTGATTTCTTGCTTTCTGTTTTTCTGTCTCTCTGGTGAGCACACACACCCTGTAGCAAAAAATCTCTAAAAAAATAAAAAAAGAAAAAGAAAACAAAAAAGGCAGGCCCAGTTGTAGGCAGTAGCAGTGCTCCTAAGTGATGTTGGAGGCTACGTGAGAGAGTTCTGGATTGATGTCTCAAGTCTGAGTTGGGATGCCTGTGATCAAGTTGGGTACAGAGCTGGGGGCAGGATCACATTCACTCTCATTCACACATGAAGGAAATAAATACAGTTAAAAGAAGAAAAAAGTCAAACCAATTGCCAATTTAACTACAGTCATGTGCCATATAACTTTTTAAATAAAATTTAAAAAGAATTATTTAATTTTATTTATTATTATTTTAATTTGGTATAGGGTATGTGTGCTCACCAGAGAGAGAAACAGACAGAGAGAGAGAGAGAGAGAGACAGAGAGAGAGTGTAAGAAAGCAATCTGCCAAGTTTAGGACTTGAACCACAGTTGCCCATGTGGGAGGGAGTCCAGCATCTTAACTACCATGCCACCTGACGGCCCTCTAATTCATTAAAAGAAAAGATTATAATAGGCTATACTAGGGTTGGCAAGTGGCATGGTGGTTAAGGGTGCTGGACTCCCACATGGCCAACCACAGTTCAAGTCCCAGACCTGGCGGCTTCCTTTCTCACTTTCTCTCTCTCCCTAGTCAAATTAAAAAATAATAATGATAAATAAGCTTGAATAAAATAATTCCTTGTTTAAAAAATAGCTATGCCATATAGTCTAGGTTTGTGAAAGTTTACTCTGATGTTGATACAGTGATGAAATTGTCTAAAGACGCACATATTGGAATATATCAGTGTTGTGGGACCAGTAGATAGCATAGCAGTTACATCACTGGACTCCCACATGGTTAACTGTGGTTTGAGTCCCAGAATTGGTGGCTTGAAACTCATGCTGGGTATGTGCATGAGTGCCCAAGATCCCAGGAGAAAAGTGGAGAAGAAAAGATTGTAGCATAGCCATCCTGCCTGGGAGGGTGATTTCTCACTTTTGATCTCATTGTCTCTCTCTCTCTGGCGAGTACACATGTCCTAAGGCAAAAACCTCTAAAAAATAAAACAATGAAAATTATACACACACACACGCACACACACACATAAATGCATATATATATATAAAATATATATGTGTATATAATATGTATGCTACTATTTATATATAAATATATATAATATTTTTATATTACTGTTGTTAAATGAGGCATGACAATTCTATAGGAAAAAAGATAACTATGTTTGGTTTTCAGATCACTCAACGAACAAGTTTTATATTCTTCTGGATAACCACCTGTCTGTGACAGTAGAAAGTATTTTTTGGAATGCAGATTAAATCATGGCTGAAGGTCACTCTACCATTTCTTTTCATTTTTAGTTACCATCACCTATAATAAGGCAAAAGTAATTTTTACCAAAGAGTTTTATTAGCTAAACATAGTCACCCAAGAAGTAAAACATTCACCATGCAAACCAAACAAAAACAGAAGAGTACAAAGGGCAAACCAAGAGGAGTGTAAACACTAGCAAAAAAAGAACACATGGACTGCTGTCTACACACCTACACAAGATAGTTTTAAATGTATATATTAGAAAAAAGAAATCTAAAATCAATAGCCTAAGCTTCCACCCCAGAAAAGGAGAGAGAGAAATGTAAATTAAGCCTAGAGCAAACAGAAGAAAGCAAAAACAGACAAAAAAAATAATTGGAAGAAAGTATAGTATCAGTAAACAATTGTCCTGGGTGACTTCCCTGATACAGACTGAAGGTTTCATAGTAGGTGCTATGCACTACTTTGGTATTACCAAAACATTTGAGCAATCTCCATAGGTTTTTTTTTTTTTTTTTTTTTTTTTTTTTTTTTCCCCCTGCTCTACTCTGAGATACTCAATCTCTGACCAGTAATAAAAGCCAATGATAGGCTCTTGCAAAACACAGGTTATATCCTTGGTGGTTCACAAACAATAGTAACATATCAGCTCTCAGGCAAGAGAACATTACTCTGAGGCCTGGATCGGGTGGGGCTCACACTAATTCATTCCTCAGACTGTTTCTAAGATTAATACAGTTTCTTAATCCTACCTCACTTAAAAAAATAATTTTACGGGGCCAGCAGGTGAGGTAGTAGTTAAGGGTATTGGACTTCCACATGGCTAACTCATTCTAGTCCTGGACCTGGTGGCTTGCTTTCTCACTTTTCCTTCTCTTGTTCTGGCTCTTGCTCTCACGCTCGCTCTCTTGCTCTGTCCCTCTCTGGTCAAAATAAATAAATATAGTTAAATAAATAATTACTTTTTAACTATATTTATTTTTTAAAATATTTATTTTATTTGTCATTATTATTATTATTTTTATTTTACCAGAGAGAGACAGAAAAGGAAAGTGAGAAAGCAAGCCACAGGTCCGGGATTTGAACTGTGTTTGGCCATGTGGGGGTCCAGCACCTTAACTGCTGTGCCATCTACTGGCCCCCTATTTATTTATTTTTAATTTGACCAGAGAGGGACAGAGTGAGAGAGAGAGGGAAAGTGAGAAAGCAAGCTACCAGCTCTGGAATTTGAACCATGGTCTGCCATGTGGGAGTCCAGTGCCCTTAACTACCACGCCACCTGCCAATTTTTTAATTTGACCAGAGAGAGACAGAGTGAGAGGGAAAGTGAGAAAGCAAGCTGCCAGGTTTGGGACTCGAACTATAGTCGGCCATGTAGGAATCCAGGGAATCCAGAGCCTTTAACCACCATGCTGCCTGCCGGCCCATAAATAAAACAATCCTAAAATAATTAAAAATTTTAAAAAATGATCTTTTCTTTCTAAATTTATCAGAAGAAATTTGTTTGTTTCCTTTACCAGGGCATATCACCTATATGAACAATGAACCCTGTGAAAACCAGTGTTCCCAAAAGGCTCAGAAACAGTAAATATGACGAGACTTTATAGCTATGAAACAACATTCTTAAAAATAGCTGCCTTTGGAAAAAAACCTATGCTTAAACCACTGAGAAACAAAAAAGTAATGCTTACCATAACTTCCACATCAGCCCAAGTTGTATTTTCTGGATCAGAAACCAGAAAGCTTTGAGTCTCATTTTTAAAAGTCACATTTAAAGTAACTTGTGGTTCCATGTTGTGGGGCTAGAGTTGAGAGGATGGGTGAGAGAGAGAGAGGACACACATCAGAACATATTCAATACATTTATCATTCCATAAATACTTTTGAATACCTAAAATGGGCTCAGTTCAGCATATACAGCAGTGAATGAGAGGAACAATGCTCCTGCTCTTATGGGAATTATAACTTAGGTGGTTTAAATGAAATCTCCCTGCTAAATAGGCATTGTTGTTCTAAGAAGTAGATATTGATGCTAAAAGTGGATATTGCTGCCATAAAGCCTTATATATAAGCCACAAAAAATTCTTCTTTTTTTTTTTTAAAAAAAAGAGGTTTTGGGACCAGCAGGTGGCGTGGTGGTTAAGGCGCTGGACACTCCCACATGGCTGACCAGTTCGAATCCTGGACCTGGTGGCTTGCTTTCTCACTTTCCTCTCTCTCTCTGGTCAAATTAAAATGAATGAATGAATGAATGAATAAATAAATAAATCTTTAAAAAAAAAAAGAGGTTTTGTCTTAGTGTGTATGTACTTGCCACAGAGACAATGAGAGGGAAATTGAGAAATCATCCCTCCGGGGAGATGGCCACGCCACAATCCCTTCTTGTCTAATCTCCTTCTGGGATCTTGGGCACACATGCACACATATTCAGTGTGATTTTCAATCCACTAGATCAAGGACTTGAACCAGTTGGCCATGTGGGAGTCCACCGGTGGTGTGGTTATGTCGTGGTGCCAACCCACAAAAATTATCCTTAATGTTATTAGGAACGTCTACATTAGAAATAAGTCTGCTGACAATATTTACATTTTGATCACACACACAGAAATCAACTAGTATTTATAAAATCTTTAAGAATTTTATGGCACCTTATAATGACTGGTTAATTAAACAAATACTAGTAATGAGGTACCAAATAGATAAGACAGACAAGGTTTCTACCCTCAAGAAACACATTTGGGGGAACCAGCAGTTGGTGTAATGGCTGTCACTGGACTCCCACATAGTTGACTGCGGTTCGAGTCCCAGACCTGGTGGCTTAAACTCACGCTGGGCGCATGTGCGTGCGTGCCCAAGATCCTGAGAGGAGAATGGAGGAGAAGGGATCGCGGCGTGGCCATCCCCCCTGGGGAGTGAGTTCCTGCTTTCTGTCTCTGTCTGTCTGGTGAGCGCATGTGCCCTATAGGAAAAAAAAAAAAAGAAACAAATTTGGGGGGAACAGCAGTTAGCATAATGGCTATGTTCCTGGACTCCCATGTAGTCGACCACAGTTTGAGTCCTGGACTCGGTGGCTAAAACTCACGCTGGGCGTGTGTGCATGCGTGCCCAAGATCCAGAGAGGAGAATGGAGAAGGGATTGCGACGTGGCCATCCCCCTCGGGGGGTGATTTCTCACTTTCTGTCTGTCTCTCTCTGTCTTTCTGGTGAGCACACGTGCCCTATAGCAAAAACCTATCAAAAAAAAAAAAAAGAAAGAAAAATACATTCTTGTATGACTTGCAAGTGACATTTGCCATTTTTTAGAAAAGCAACTTCTTCCTAACAGATTTTCTTTAAAAAACAAACAAACAAACAAACATAAAACAGTTTTGGCATAGGTCACATGCCCTCGCCTGAGAAAGACAGATACAGAGAGAGAAAAAGTAAGAAATCACCCCCTAGAGGGGATGGCCATTCAGTAATCCCTTCTCCTCTTGGGATTTTGGGAAAGCATGCACAAACACTTGGCATGATTTTCAATCTGCCCGGTTAAGGATTGCCGAGGTCAGGACTCAAACTGTGGTCAGCCATGTGGGAGTTCAGTGTCTGAACCACCATGCCACCTGCTGTCCCCATAACCCAGGTTTTTTATTGTATCAACTTAAAAAATTTAGTGGCCAGTAGATAGCACAGCGGTTACATCATTGGACTCCCACATGGCCCATCAAACTTTGAGTCCTGGACTTGGTGGCTTGAAGATCACATTGGGCAAGTGTGCTTGCATGCCCGCCCAACATCCCAGGAGGAGAATGGAAGAGAAGGGATTGCAACGTGGCTATCCCCGCTGAGGGTGATTTCTCACTATCCCTCTCACTGTCTCTGTCTGTCTCTCTCCCTGGTGAGCATAGGCACCCTAAGGCAAAAATCTCTCTCTCTCTCTCTCTTTTTTTTTTTTTTAAGATTTATTTATGTGGCTGGCAGGTGGTGTGATGGTTAAGGGCGCTAAACTCCCACATGGCTGACACGGTTCAAGTCCTGGACTCAGTGGCTTAAACTCATGCCAGGCGCATGTACATGTGTGCCCAAGATCCTAAAAGGAGAATGGAGAAGAGATTGCAGCACAGCCATCCTCCGTGGGGGGTGATTTCTCACTTACTGTCTCTCTGTCTCTTTCTGTCTTTCTGGCAAGTGCATGCACCCTATAATAAAAACCTCTCAAAAAGAAAAAAAAAAAGAATTATTTTATTTTATTTATTCATTCATTTTAATTTGACCAGAGCGAGACACAGAGATAGAAAGAGAAAGAGAGAAAGCAAGCCACCAGGTCTGATACTTGAACCCTGGTAGGCTATGTGGGATTGTTCAGCACTTTAACCACCACACCACCTGCTGGTCCTGGCAACAATCTCTAAAAAAAAATTTAGAGGCCAAAAACTACATGGGTAGCATTCAACACTCTTCGTCTAGGTTACCAAGACTTTTGTAGCTGTAACCTACTGTTTGTGTGTGCGTGTGTGCATGTGTGTGTTTAACGGGGAATTTCAAACCTACATAAAAGTGGAGTAATGAACACCTAGTTAAAATGATCAACTCAATGCTACCCTTACTTTATCTATTCCTGTGCTTCTCCCCTTATTCCCCAAAACTGGACTGATATAGTTAGTTAATATTTTAACCACACAATAAAAATCTGATTAAAAATCTTTTTTGAATTGAAAAATGTAGAACTATACAAAAATACAGAAAATAATTCATGACTCTCTATGAACCCATCAGCATGAGTCCACAATGATTAACTCAGGACTACTTTTGTTACAGTAATATCTCTTCCCTGGGCTCAGCAGGTGGTGTAGTGGTTAAGGTGCTAGACTCCCATGTGGCTGACTGCAGTTTGATTCTGAGACCCAGTGGCATGAAACACATACCAGGTGCATGTGTGCGTGTGCCCAAAATCCTGAGAAAAGAATGAAGAAGGGATCGTGGTGTAGCCATCTCCCTTAGGGGATAATTTACTGCCTTCTGTCTGTCTCTCCAGAAAGCACATGCACCCGGGACCAGCAGTTAGCGTAATGGCTATGTTGCTGGACTCCCATGTAGTCAATCGCAGTTCGCGTCCCGGACCCGGTGGCTTAAAATTCACGCTGGGTGTGTGTGCATGCGTGCCCAAGATCCCAAGATCCCAAGAGGAGAATGGAGGAGAAGGGATTGCAGCGTGGCCATCCCCCCTGGGGGATGATTTCTCGCTTTCTGTTTCTCTGTCTCTCTCTGTCTGTTTGGCGAGTGCATGCGCCCTATAACAAAAACCTCTAAAAAAAAAAAGAAAGCACATGCACCCTACAGCAAAAATCTCTTTAAAAAAAAAAATCTTTTCCTATTAGACTATTTTACTTTTATCCATAAACAATTTAGTATGTACCTCTAAAAGATAAGAAAAAGGTTTAAAATAATTATGGAATTTTATTCATTATTATTTTAATTTGATCAGAAAGAGACACACAGAAGTGAGAAAGCAAGCCACTGGGTACCGGGTCCAGGATGCCAAGTGTAGTCGGCCATGTGGGAGTCCAGAGATTTAACCCTGATGCCAGTTGCCTCCCTGAGATAAGAAATTTTAAAAACAACCATTATAGGGGCCAGTAGATGGCATAGTGATTATGTCACTGGATTCCCACATGGCCGACCGTGGTTTGCGTCCTGGACCCAGTGCTTTAAACTCATGCCAGGCACATGCGTGTACATGCCCAAAGATCCCAAGAGGAGAATAAAGAAAAAGGGATTGCTGCTTGGCCATCATCCCTCGGAAGAGAGGGTGATTTCTGTTTCCCTTTCAATGTCTAGGTCTCTCTAGTGAGGGCATGTGCACTAAGGCAAAAATTTCAAAAAACAAAACAAAACAAAAAAAACCCCACAACCATTATAGGGCTGGCTCTGTGGCTTGGTGGTTAAGGAAGCCAGATCCTACATGGCTGACCTGGTAGTGTGGTGTCCTGGGGTGTGCTGTAGTACCAGTTGTGTTTGCAGCAGCTTGGAAAACAAGCAGGGAACTTGTATGCATATGCACCTAATCCTGATTGTATGGAGAAATGAAGGAGAAGGGATTGTGGTGCGACCACACCCCACTGAGAGGCGCTTTTTCCCCTTCCCACCTCTGTCTGTGTCTTTGGTGAGCAAACACAGCTCTGGTAACTGAAAGAAAGAAAATGTTATTCAAATATAAAACTATAATAAACCAGTCTTCAGAACTTAACACTGTACTGTTTTCCACAATATAGTGCAATGCCCAAACAGTACAACTGAGACTGTCCTTTTAAAGACCTTGAACTCTCTGAAGAGCTTTTTTTCTTTTTCTTTAGAGGTTTTTGCTATAGGGTGGGTGTGCTTGCTGGAAAGACAGAGACAGAGAGACAGAAAGTGAGAAATCACCCCCCAGGGGGCATGTCCATGCTACAATCCCCTCTCCTCCATTCTCCTCTTGAGATCTTGGGCACGCATGCACTTGTGCCCAGTGTGAGTTTAAGCCACCAGGTCCTGGACTCGAACCGTGGTTGCCTACATGGGAGTCCAGTGACATAGCCATTACACTAACTGCTGGTCCCATTGCATTCTTTATTTCTGCCTAGAATCAAGTTCGCCACCAAAATAATACCAGTCTCTGGCACCAATTGTGCTGATATCTACTATTCTACTATTCAGTCACAGGAAATGGCAGTTCTTGGGATTGTTATGATTTGGGCAGGATGTCGAAGAAAAAAAAAACAAAACACAAAGATCAGAAACAAAAAAATCAGGGTAATGAAGTGAATGACTCAGTCTGCCAGAAGCAGATATTCTGAAAAACAACTCACTTTCCAGCTTTATGAAACACACTTCCACACTTTTGAGAGTCTGGAAGGAAATTAATCTTCCTCCCTTTTACTCAAATTACACAACTGGAAATTAGTTTAGATACTTTGGAGCTTACCCAGCTGGTCTGCCAATGGAGAGAAAACAGGAAGTAGAAATCCTAGTTTGGTTGGACCATATTCAGGTCCTCATAAAGAACCTCCTATCTTCTCTTTGGCTTATATGTTGAAATTCTTTCACCAAGAGCATTAATCTTGAACTTGTGAAATTAACAAAGTTATGGTTCATCCCATTTGTCCCCTGTAGTTTTAAAACCAGCAGTCAGGTAGCTCCTGGGGTCGAGGCCTTCAGCTTTCATAACTATCATTACTCTTAAGCTCATGTCATCGACACCCCTTTGCTTGGCACAAATCAGCTTTTCTCCATGTGGACTTTTTTTTCTTTAGCCTCAAATATCCTTTTAAAAAAAGAGATCTGACAACCTAAGCTTTGATACTGTCTCCACCAGAAGCCTGAACAGAGCTGTTGGAATTTTAAAACTTATGACCTCAAATACGAAAAAAGGTGCCTTTTCAATCAGATCACAAAACAGCTCTTTAATCTGGTCGCTGAAAAAACCGGCTGCCGCCACACACGGAAAAAGTCACCCCTCTAGTTTGCAGGATTCCTCTCTCGAACTTCCCCTAAACTCTTGTAGCGAGACGTGACCCCACCCCTAAGTTACCGCAGCTGCTTCCTTACCAGCTTTCCGCCCCCGGGGGGCGCCTGCCGGAGGCCAGTGCAAAGACCGTTCGCTGCCAGCTCTGCTGCTATCCCTGAGGGGTAAATCTAACATGGCGGATAGAGACAGGACCTAGTCCCGTTTCTCTGAGTTTACGCCAAGACGATTGGCTCTCAGTGCTTGTCCCTCAAAAGTACCACCCCATCGATTGGTCGAAGCTGCGCTGACGGAGGCGGGGCAGAAGCAAGCTGAACCTCACAACAATAACAAACATCGGGGCCGAGGGGCGGAACTACGAGTGCGCAGACGTGGTCCAGAGCGGATTTCCCCTTCCCAGGCAATTTCGGCGCCCCCAGCGTTCCCTGTTTAGAGGACTACTTGCCTGGGGCCCGCGGGGCTTGATGGAAGTTGTAGTCTTCTTAGGACTTGTAAGCGCTTTCACCTAAGTCTCCGCTCTCAAGATATGAAAACCTAATAGTCCAGTTCATAGCTGTTGACGTATATAACCGCACGGAGGCCCCCAATCTGTCAACTGGGTCGCTGTGAAAATCGTGCCAGTTTACGGTGCCATAAGCTCCTCTCCATAAGACTACAATTTCCAAGGAATACCGTGGCGAAGGACCTTCCTTCCGCAAGGCATGATGGAAATCGTAGTTTTTCCCCTGCAATTATTTTTTTATTTACCTACGCTGGAGACTTCCATTGCAGCGGAAAGGGTGGGAGAATGGGGGCCTCTTCTTATGACTGCTTTGGGCACTATCTTGTGCTTACATTCTGGTCTCTGGTAACAATTCAGACCCTCGTAGAGTAAGTACTGTGACGTAATAAGCCTCAACTAGAGGCGTAGAGGAGAAAGAGCATGCGCATAGTAGGAAACTCAGAATGTTTTCTCTTCCGTCTCTTTTTAATTACGTAATTCAGGGGAGAATGAGTGACCAATCCGGAGGCTCGATAGACTCCCGGTCCTTTCCGCCGGGTCCTTCCGCTAACGTATTTTGGTCCTGCGTTCTAAGAGGTTAACGCTGTGCAGCAGCGCCGGTTTCCGTGGCAACAGGAAAGCGCGGGAATTACGGATAAATTGAAACTGCAACTGTGCGGTGGAAGCTCGCTGAGGCTTCCTGGAACGAGAGCCGTCCAGGGGGTTTCTCAGACCACTGGATTCCTGGGTTCAGGAAGCTCGTTTGCTTTGCTCTAGGTAAAGATGGGTGAGCCCCGGGGAAGGGAGAGGAACCCAGGGAATTCTCCCGCGAACAGGCAAGAAACAAGCGTAGGAAGAGTAGACTCCTGAGGCCAAGCCAGATGGGCGTTTATTGGGTTGAGGGGTGCAGTGGGTGGAACCGGAGGCATCCAAGACGTTACGAATTTGGGGGAAAACTAGGGAGGGTAAGTTTGTGGGTTGCAGGGGAGCACTAAAGATAAGGAAAGGGGCACGGTGTGGCCAGGTGTAATCTTTGTTATGGAAACTGGAAAGTGTCTTGACCGACACCATGAGCATAAGAATATGGGCTGATGTGTGAGGGAAAGAC